GTATTTCAAGTGAATCTAGCACTCGATTTCCTTCACAAACGAAGCATAACTACGATAGCGGTCTCGATAGCTGGGGAGGGCATGGTAGGCCTTCATATCTGGGAATTCAAGAAATATTGGTAGAATTCTAGCGAGAAGTGTATATTAACACGTTTCCGGATGGTGTAGGGGGCTCTGGCCTTTAAGCCTGGTCTGCGAAATCTTGACTTCATATCTTCCGGTAGGATAGAGCCTGGGTATTAGTTATCCGATACGTTTTCAGTAGATATAGGGGGGTTCTCAGGTATTCCAGGTTGTTGTTGGAGAGAATTGTGATCGCTGTTCAGATATTCCTTAACTGGTTATATTGAGTGTTTATGTTCATGTTCACACTGGAATCTAATAGGCTTATTTGATGATTTCCCTTGCATACCTCATCTGCTACCAATCCGTCCGATTTCCTGTTGCTTTAGTGGCTTTTTTCTGATCTGCTACCAATCCGTCCGATTTCCTGTCCCTCTTAGCAACTTTGTCATTTTGTCGCAGCTCTGGAGGTGTAAAGTTACTGTTGCTCCTGAAAATTGTAGATTTTATACCATTGAAAACTGTTATTAATTTGTGCAGGAATTGTTATTAAAGAAAATTTTCTTTCATAGCTGTCCTACCATATGGTAAGTTCAGATTCTTTAAATTAGGTGTGAGGCTGCATTTCCAATAATACCAAAGTCAAATATGGGAATGATAAAATCCTCGGTATCTGTTAGAGAGCAACGCACCCTCCGAGAGACTGTCAAAAAAAGTTTTTCTGCAGGAAATCCGAGTTCATCGATTCTCAGCTTTTTCTGCGAATGAATCATTCAGGAGATCGAGTACCATTTCTCTATTGATGATCTTGATTTGATAGTCCCGTTAGCAGGGTAGGGCATGAAATATATCTTGGAAATTTTGGGATAAAACATGATTAAATAAAAAGAATAATGATCAAAAATGCGTAAAACTTACAGCCAGTATTCAATGCCATATAGTAGAGCGGAAGAAATGAGCTGCAGTGGCCTCATATTTAAATGTAGAAAATATAACAAGTGGTTGAAGAACATATAACAAGTGGTTGCTGCTCAAATCCTAAGTTGATCAGCTCGTTTACCTTGCCAATAAAAACACAATACTGACCGCTTAACTCTTTGTGATGTCCTGAGTAGTTCATGTGTTACTACATACATGTCAAAACAATATTTGGCTTATCAGTGTATGCTGTTGCACATTATGCACTTAACCCATTAACACCGGTATGTTTTGAAGCGGAAAATAAAAGATTCCGGGTGGCTACAAAATCGATACGCAGGGTTGGGGGGGTTGGAACGTGTGAATTCCCGTAGTTTTGTTGAAAGGTGGGTTGGGATCTCGTTGTCTGTAGAGTTTCATTGGCTGATTTTAGGTGTTTTGTTAGTTTTATGCATTTTTTATCATTATTATTCTTATTTATGTCTCTTTTACCCCATAATTTCCATGATTATACTTCATGCCCTTCCCTATTAACGAGACTATCAAATCAAGATTATCAATGGAGAAATTGTACTCGAAGAAACAAAAGCCAAGAATTAACAAAATCATTGGATTTCTTGAAGAAAAAAACATTTTAATTTTTTTACTCAGTCTCTGGAAGGGTGCATTGATCTCTGTAACAAATACCAAATACTTTTAAGAATATAAATGTAACAGCAGACAGTGATAATTTGCCAAATATTACAAACATGTTGGTAGACAGGAAAATTTGGAATATTGGAGTAATGAGTTAGAGATGAGTTATGCAGTCAGTGTTTTGTTTTTCCTGGCAAGGTAGACAGGAAAATTTGGAATATTGGAGTAATGAGTTAGAGATGAGCAACTTTCTCTGAGTGGTGATGTGCAGGGGAATATTACCTTTGAATATTAGGCTGTTGCAGCATAAACTGTTGTTTCTGACTTTCTTTTTTATGCTTTCTAAGATGATGGTGTCCATTTCCCTCTATATCCGGGCATTGCTATAAGTAATCTACATAAGTTCCTTTCTCTAGTTTCCAAGTGTATAGAAATTGTGCAGAAACCTCCAAACCCCCACATTCTTAGCCTTGATTGCAGGGGAGGGCATGAAAGGTATCAGGGAAATTGCAGTGTAAATTATGAATAATGTACAGAATTGGTCTCTATTGTTTAATGCAGGGGTGCCACCCCCTAAACCCTACCCTGAAAAACAAACAACCCTCCATGTTTTCATGTTAAGAGAGAGCACATTACCACCATCAGGGAGCAGTATTGCCAAGTCTATCTGATGCTCTCTCCTGTTGTGAATATGTAGAAGATTCTTTGTTCTGGCTGAGGGATGGGGGCAGCAGCCCTTCATGGCACACTATATTAGACAATATAGTGCCTGATTGTGTAAATTATTCATATTTTGCCCTAGTACCTTTCATGCCATTCCCAGCTATCAGGGCCAAACTTGTAGCTATTGAAGGGTTGGGGAGGTTTCTATGCACTAAAACCTTCATATTTGCATTGAAGACTGCGAGGAATTGGGTACGGCTGCCATTTGTAGATTCCCTGGCCACAATAGGAACCTTCCTAAAATGGGAATGTTTTTTTGGAGGGGGGAAATTAAGAGGTTAAAGTATGGGATATGGGTAAATATTCAGAAAACCTTTGCAAATCTGATCTTGAAATTGGTATCAATAGATTCCTCCCCTTGTACGCTATCTTGCGTTGAATATTTATCCTCGGACCCCCTCCCATGACCCAAAACTTGGCTTTGATAGCACGGAGGGGATGAAAGGTACCAGGTAAATTGGATAATTTTGGTTTTCCACAGCCAACCAACTATGCAAAAAAAAATTGTTCTGATTGTTAACAGTGTAGTATGTGTGTATTTGTTGTTGTTTCCCATTGCAAATGACAGGTTCAGGAAGAAAGTGAAGCATTTCTCTCTCAAAAGACATTGCTGAAAAAAATATTGGTTAATGTTATCGAGAGGGACGCGCAGAGAGAGGTAATTGGACCCGCCACCTGATAGAGCATAAAAAACATAGCTACAGTTGCAGGAGCCTCATATTTACCTTGATGAAAATCTTAAAATCTGAAAAAATAAATTTGCCGTATATTGCATGGAAGCGACTAAGTAAACATCGGAGCGGGAGGCGGGGTGAGTGGGGGGATCAGAGATTTAGTCATAACTCCTTTATTTTTATGTATGTCACAGAAGCGTTATGTCACGGGATTGCCAAAGCCTACTAGATTAGATTTTTTCAAATTTGAGTATTTTATAAAATATTCATCGAAAGTTCAGCACAATATATATTGAAGATAAATGAGCCAGTTTTGTTAGTGTATACTATGTACCAAGGTCTAGAGTATCACTTAACTAGACCTTACAACATTCCCTGTATCCTGTACTCTTTTATTATCATTATATTAAACAGATAATACGCTGGTTAAGGTTCATAGGAAATATAATTTTTCAATATTGTTACATTTCATACTTTTACATTGACATCACACAATGGTTTATTTACCACTTTTTCCTTTCCCTCATCCTCTTTCCCCTTTTGTTTATATGAACTTTAGAAAGTGAAGATTTTCAAGTCAGAATTGTTCTTGCTGTAGTTGTAGTTATTTAAGAAAAATTATTTTGCAGGTGATGAGATGTTCACCGACACCTATAAGTATGAGGAGGTGGATGATGCCTTCTACATGGTAATTGGAAAAAATATTACTGTTACTGAAGATAACATTGAGCTGGAGGGAGCCAATCCATCAGCTGAAGAAGCAGATGAAGGCACTGACACTACTAGTCAATCTGGCGTCGATGTAGTTATATATATGCGTCTGCAAGAAACCGGCTTCCAAGTCAAGAAGGATTATCTTGCTTACATGAAAGAATATCTAAAGAAGTAAGTTCAAAATTAATAACTGGTGTAGAGATTAATGTAGGAAAAATATAGAAGTATACATTTATTATTCTTGATGTATATTAGTAGTCTTGCTGTATGGTATTATTCTTGATGAATAGTACTGTGTGTGTATGTGTACGTGTATGTGTGTGTGTGTTCGAGTAGTCTTATAGTAGTCTTGATGGTAGTGTGTGTGTGTTCGTGTATGTGTGTGTGTGTTCGTGTACGTGTTGAGTATGTGTGTGTGGGGGCTGTTCAAGCTCTTATTTGTTTTAGTTGGATTTAATGCCCCTATAAACATTGAGAATTTGTTAGCTGTTGAAAAAATACCATTATTTAAGGTTGAATGGGGTAACTGTTTTCAGATGTTAGTGACCATAAATTAGTTATTGCATCACTGTTAGTACCAGTAGTGTAGAGATAAGAAAGGCTAACATTTACTGCCAGAACTTGAGTTGAACATCATTTGGAGAGTATCATCACAGCTCATAATTCCAGGATATGTTATTAAATTACCAGTTAACAATTTATTCTCTTTCCAGTGTAAAGGCAAAGTTGGAAGGCACACCTGAAGCTTCAAAGTTAACATCTATCCAGAAGCCTCTGACAGACCTTTTGAAGAAGTTCAAGGACTTGCAATTCTTCACTGGTGAATCAATGGACCCTGATGGCATGGTTGTTCTCATGGATTACAAAGACATTGATGGAGAAGAGCGGCCAGTCTTGTATTTCCCAAAATACGGTCTAACAGAGGAGAAGCTATAAACATTATTTATTTCTGAGTTATTGTAAGTGCACTCTTTTTTTGTATTAATTGTATTATGGTTAATGATAAGCAGATAAGGCTGAGTAGCAGCAGAGCAAGTTGATTTAATCCTTTTAGTATGGGTCAGAAGACTAGGAATGGACAGATAGGCGAATGATAGCCTAACTTCAGCCAACTAAAAAGTAGTAAAGAGAGCACTAGTGTATGAGTAATTAAAAGAAAGAAATAAGGGTAAAGAGAGAAATAAGTATAATTAAGAATAAATGAAATACAGGAGATGATGATTGAAATACAGGAGATGATGATTGAACAAGTTAACCCATTGGATCTGGATATCTCTCTCAGCAAGTTACCCAAAGTCCAGGCATGAGGCAAAAGGGGGCCATCATTTTTTTTTTTTTTTTCCCCATTTTTTAAAATATAAAGTATATTATTTAGACTTCCATCATTTGAAATGAAAATCTGATCATTGAGAAAATTGTACATTTATTCGACTTTCAAATTATCCAAGCCCCATTAGAATTGGCCAATTAGTTATGGAGTGACACAAGAAAATGTGGACGAAGGTGTAGTTTTGAGATTTTAGGCTTTGAAGTTGGAAACTTTTTTTTTTTTTTTTTTTTTTTTTTTCTGATCTCTGCGTCAATCTTGATGCATTGTATGACATTCACATGGTATTCTTGAAGTGTAACTGGTAACTGGTACTAATGGTAATGACTGCACATGATTGTAGAAGTACTGCGTGTCATCACAGGCTTCGTAGTGCCTCGTGAGGAATTTCATACGAATTAACAACTGCTGCAGCTGTGGTTGAGATGTATTTCTTATATTATGTTTATTAGTTACAGGAATATCCTCTATCATTATAGTAGTCTGTCTCTCATATATTTTCATGAATTGCAAATTACTTTGTAGGTTTCTTAATCAAATTTCATTTATAAAGGTGCTTAAAATGCAGTGCATCACTGTGTATGGGTAAAATTTTCAGTGTCAGTCAAATGATGTGTATTTACTTGCATGGGCTGAATGTCTTTAGATTTTTTTTATACTTCTGTGATGTATTATAGGCTTATAGTTATCGACGAAAAGGCAGTGTATCTTGATCTGTTGATATATTAAAGGCACTTACAAGAGTAAATGCTTATTATTGGAATTGTCCGAGACTAGGACTGTGACCAGTGAACTCACTTGTGATGGATGCATTATGATGTAAAATTTCAAACAGGTTTCCACTTTCCACATGAACAATGGATGTAATTAGGGGGGGGTCTGAAGACTAGAAATTTATTTTGAAAGTTCCACAACCTTGGTGTGTATAAACAATAAGTTTTGTGGGTGGGTAATATTTTTCATTTTATTACAGCTTCGATAATGTTTTCCTTCTAATTAAATGACATACTAGTAATAGCTTATGTATTACTTTTGTGTCTATTGGATTGTGTTAAATTAAGAAGTAACTTTGATAAAATGTTTTCTAGCAACAATAATATTACTTCAATGTGCAAAAGTGTTGGGGGTATTCTCAATGTTGGCAAAAGGGCTTATACATAGCCGGGTACTGTAAATGCACATTCATCTTGCTAAGTGCCTCACACCTGGACATCCTTTTCAGGATGTAGGCATTTGCCCAAAATATGAAAACCGAGTTTGGACTTCAAAAGTTAATTTCATTGTTTTCTGTTTACAGATGCAGCAGCCCTTGTCATCTGGACTCCCAGGATCACAAAGCCAATTGTTAATGGTCCTTTTTAATTTAATTTTAACATACTCAGATAAATTAGTCATCCCCTCCAATATACTGTTTTATTTCTTCCTTAACCAAAGCTCATTTGGTAAAGAATTAAGCAAGTAAACATTTTATACAAAAGGAAAATGTAATATTTTTTCCATCTCTTTCACAGAGTAATATTCCTTTTTAATTTAACTGGATTTGTTATTGTCTTCAGATTATAATCAGTCATATTTTAGTACCTATTTAGTGGTGGTGGAAAGTACTTTGAGACTTCTTTGAATACCTATGTATCTTAAATACTATTGAATATCAGTTCACAAGAAAAAAAAAAATCCAAGTACCATTGCACGCAAGCTAGAGATGTCAGTCATAAGAATCTATTATCTGTAGGGTTTGGCCCATTAAAAAAAAGGGGGGGGGGCACCTTGTAACTATTTGTATCTGAAGTCGTGTACCAAGGTCCCAAAAGGTATCACCCCTACCTAGGACCTCAGCCCTTGCCTCAACAAATTTTGCATGGTTGTTTCTCCCTTCTATCTTCTCCAAACCTTCTATCCAATTCCTAAGATGGAAGAGCCATGTTGAAAGGGTGAAAGGGTGAAAGGCTGACTTCTTGCCAGTCATGACCAGCCTCAGGGAGCCATGGGCACTGTATTCCTTGGTAAATCATTCAGCCCTTACTCGTTATTGGGACCCAGAGGAATTACCCTTTTTACCTTCCCCACATATGTCAGGCTTACCATGGCCTGTAATGAATATTTTGTACCCTCCTTAGGGACATTGAGGCTTGCCCCTTTATCAACTAGCCTCTCTGAATCAGACTTAGTTTCCGACCCCAGACTCCCCTTTGACCACGTCACAACACTGTTAGTGCACCACCTTGCTCTACACATACTGCCGAATTATCTAGCGAGGTACCAACTCCACCCTTAAGACATCCCATCCTCATTCCCAACGTGTTCCAGCCCACAACTTGAACAATCATCTTCACATTCTACCCTCTCCTCCCTTATTACAACTCTTAAACTTAATTGTCCACACCTCCATAATACGTCGCTTCACACCACTCCAGTCTCGTCCCTCTATAATTCCTACTTCCTCAAGCCTTTTGAGTAATCTGTTTAGACCAGCTATATGGGGACTTGATTTATGTTCCCTAACAGCCCCTCATTCAGATAATACCCTAATCTTTCAACAATGCCTTCAAAAACAAGTTGGCAAAGTTTTCTTCCGCAGTCGTCCTGATCGCTCACGCTTAGTTTCATGAGACTCGAGCCCAAGCACCATCTACCTTGGTTGACATCACTGGCAAACCTATATCTGTTCTAATCCACACCTCCCTTAATAGATGCACTGGAACTGTTTCCCTCTCCTCCACTGATTACCCTGTCTACGGTTAAATACTGGACTAACTGAAAACGACCTGCTTGGCCCGGATTCACTAACGCACTTAGGATGGTAAAATCACTGGTAACTATAGTTACCATGGTAACTAGACAGCGGTGGTATTCACTAACAACTTGCCATTGGAGTCTCCATGGTAAATTAAAACAGTGGTCAGCACTGGTATTGTCATCACGTGATATCGTAAAAAAAAAATATCTAAGCAAAGTTTTAGGTTAGATTTTATACATGATGTAACTAATATGCTGGCAAACGCATACGGCAATACGGACAGTGTAGAAATGTAAATTTCACATGAAACTAGCAAGACTAAAATCCCCACATATTCTCATAAAATTACAGACCTATATTATACTATAATGCATGGAGTCGATAGATAAGTGAACTCGTATAGAATTATTCTGACAATTATTACAAGTGATACCGAAAAAAACTACCTTGGTGATTTAGCGTTGGTAATACCAACACTAAATCGGTATAGCAATTTCTGTCTGTCGGCATTTTGACTAACTTCAAAGTGCATGGTCAAGAATAAATTTGAAATATATCCTTTGACGACAAATAGCGATTACTAAGAAAATTGGTCCGGTTATTTAACAAAAACAAGATAAATAACTGTTTAGACTAATGTTAATAATACAATATTTATTATTAATATAAGTTTGTATTGGTTCCTATCTACAGTAAATATATATCCCACATGATGGATATAATCAAATAAGTATATTCATTTTTTACTACATATGCTTAAATAGTTTTAACTGTGAAGATTATTTTTTAAAAGTCTCGTTCCCCCCAATCCCTTGCCCGTTGTTGTCGTGGGGGCTTAGGAGACGAAGACTGAGACCAATACAGGGATCTCCCCTGCCTAGGCCTCAGCCCTCGACTCAACTAATTTTGCATGGTCTTTTTTTTTTTTCTCAGCTTTTGTTTCCGTCTCTTCTCCATCCCCTTCTGCTATCTACTTCCTAAGGTGTGAGAGCCGTGCTGAGAGGATGAAAGGCTGACCTAGTGCCAGTCCTGAACGGCCAGCGGGAACTATGGGCACGGTACTCCTGACTAATCTAGCCCTTACCTTCAGTAGCGAAAGGAGGTGGACCGAATAGGCCTATTTACATAATCCAGGTTCCCCATGACCAGTAATGAGAATGTAATCCCTTTATTAGAGGCTATGAGGCTAGCCCCTTTATCAAATAGCCCCAACCCAGGCTCTCCTTTGACCACGGCTCCGAACACTGAAACTACTGCCCACTCCTCAATGCCTACTAGTGCATTACCCACCCAAGCAGAGAATCAATCTCCAGAAGACATTCCTACCCACCCAACTTCCTCAAATTCAATCCACCCCTGCAACCTTCATCAAACAACCAATCCTCCCTTATTACTACCTTGCAACCTTATTCTCCATCATTCCGTAATACTCCCTCTTCCACACGTCCCCGACTATCCACCACCACCAACCCTACAGATATCTTAAATACTCTGTTTAGCCCAGCTAAATGGGACCGATTTTTCGTGATCCCTGCTACAGCTCCTTACTCAGGCAACACTCTTCTCTTTCAACAATGCCTCCAAAAACAAGTAGGTAGAGTCCCTTTCTATACCAGACGCGATCGCTCCCGTCTGGTAACAGTCAGATCAGAAACTGAATCTATAGCACTGTCAAATTTAACTGATCATTCTGGCAACCCCATTCCTGCAGAACCTCATGCAACCCTTAATACCTGTACCGGAACTGTCTCTCTCTCCCCAGCAAACTGCCCAGTCGATACCAAAGATTGGTCAGACTGTGGAGAAGACTTATTAGGATGCCTCAAAGACCAAGATTGTGAAATCAGTACATTGCTACACCATTCCTCTAAAGGTCAACGAAAGAATCCAACCAATATTGCCAAAATTACCTTCTGTACACATGACCTTCCCTTACGTATCTACATTGGTGGACAATCCCTCCCTGTTCGACCATACCAACCCCCTCCACGTCAATGTCAAAACTGTTGGCGCTTTGGACATCATGCCAAACATTGCCGTTCCACAGACCGATGCCCATATGTGCCCAACCTGGTCATAATCGATCAAACTGCTCAGCACAAACGACGAACATGTGCTAACTGCGGCGGGCCCCATAATGTATTTTATAGAGGCTGTCCCACTTACAAATTTGAATCTGAGGGTACGCAACTACTCAGATACAAGAAC